AACGGTAAAATGCTCATGAAGTGACTCTCAGAGCAGTTCTAGAGATTATGTTCATGTGTTCATGTACTCATATCTTGGGGTGGCAGAGGCTGAAATGTGTGTGTGTAGTAAACAGCACTGCGCTTCATTCACACACAGACACACAGAACATGCAGGATTCATATTTAAAGTCTTTTGCGGCTTAATATTCACAGACACTCATCCATATCGCGTTTTAATTCAAGTGTGCTGACCTACTTTTGATTTATTCATTCAAAATTTGGCAAATTCCGTGACATTCCGAATTATACTGTAAATTCAATTTTTATGACTGGATTCCATCCGTGTTTTCCACAGAGCGGGAATCACAGGGCCCTAAGTGTGTTTGCTCGTGCACGTCTTACCCTGTATTGATGGAAATTATTTCAATCAGCGGGTTCTTCCTGATCTTGGGCAGATCCAGCCGCGCTCCTCCCAGACGCTTGCCTTTCTCCTTCTTCTGACCCAGCAGACGCACGGAGTGACCTGCAACACACACACACTCATCACACAAGGAACAGAGTCATCACACTGCGGCCTGATGCCCAATACAGACTGATGCCCAAGAGAAGATAGAACAAAGCATTGTGCTCCGTTCCAACAATCACACATTAGCTTCAGGCCACGAGAGAGAGAGAGAGAGACAGAGAAAGAGAGAGAGAGAGGCCATGTATGTGCTGTCATTCCCCACACATCTGCCGCTATTCAGCTGTGAGCGTCTGCCGCGTGTCGATCGAGACGGACGGAGCAGATATTGAGACGTGGCCATGAATTCATCCCCATTCATTCAGAGTTTAGAGCAAAAGAACAATGAGAAACCCTGAGCTGAGCCCTGCAGATGTTCACACACACAAACACACACACACACACACACACACACACACACACACACACACACACACACACAGACAGATCTTCCCTCATCTCATTTCTCCTGCTTGTGTTTCATTAACTTCAGAATGTAACAGGGCCCTGCGTCTCGATGTTGCTGGTAAAGTTTTGATTAGAAGGCCCAGGTGTGAGGGAGTCTCTGAGCACAGGAGCTCAGAGATCAGTCGGTCAGGCGTGAGTACAAACACACACACACACACACACACACACACACACACAGCTCACATTACAACAGCATGGAAATGAACTCCGATTCCTTGAGATGCAGCAGTAGCAATTAGAAGAGACGGAGATCTCTGAGGAACGGCACGCTCACACCCAAACAACCTGATCCACACACACAATCCCTTTATTCACACAACAATACACAAGTATCCCCATCATGACTTGAAATAAACAATCCTAAATAAAGATATAACAGGGTCTTTGACATGCAGCCAAACATCTTGAGCCTGATGGGTGTTACTGCACAGAAGCATCATGGGAACTGTATCGATTGGGGGTTAATAGCGATTCTGAAAGGCCTCGAGACATCCAATGCATTTGTGTGATCTAAAGTGATTTTCTTCAAACACACACAAACCATTAACTGTATTTATCAAAGAATCATCATAAGATCTGAATATCATTTTCAGGACTGACACAAATCTAACACACAGTCTGACAGTAAAACCACAACTGAGAAAGCTTTTTCTTCCACAGAACACAAGACAGTCAGAGACACTCTTCTCCGTGTGACTGGAGTGCTACTATATTCCACATCTTCTGAAGTCAGGTGACACTTCGTGAGAGAAACAGCTGTTTGCTGAAACTCTTCCCCATGGCAGCAGCGCTCAAACCTCAACCTCACATTATGACTACAATACACCAGACCTGCTCTGAGAGAGAGAGAGAGATAAAGGATAGCACAGACCTGCAGAGATCTTCATTAATTGAAATTATGCACCGCAGCATTTTAATAAAGCAGAGTCTGATAACAGGTCTGATGGTGTCAGAGGTTCACATGACTCCACACACACACACTCACACACACACACACTCACACACACACACACACACTCACTCACTCACACACACTCACTTACACTCTCTCTCTCTCACTCACACACACACACACTCACTCACTCACTCACAGCCTACATTTAATTACATCACTTGATTTCTGCAACCAGACACATGTGTAATCAAATCTGCTAAATAATTCATACAACCATCTACATGCAAATAACTGAAAGAAAAGATCTGAGGCCAGAGGTGTGACATGTAATTTACTGATCCACCGGCTCTGAGAGTCTCCAGTGTCTCGATCCTCTGGGAAACAGAGCGGGAGGACAGAGACGGACAACATCGCACAGAACCCAACCAAACACCCAGTTACAGTCAGAGGAAAACAAACAAGCTCCGCAGACACTGAGACCTGCAACTGATAAAGAACTTCAGAAGTCATTTGTATATGTAATGCTGTGCTCTTAAACACACAGCAGTTACAGCAGCAGCATCTTCATCTTTACTGACATGAAGCACAAACAGCACTGACCTGAAACAAGCAGACCTGCACATTCACCAGAACGAGTGTGATCACAGCAATGCCACGAGGAACTGAGCGTGTGCGGATCTGCTGCTGCATCAGTGCTTCCTTATTTTAACATGAACTATTAATCCGTAATAACGGTTTAGTTTTTTTAGCTTTTACAACTGATACACAAATTGCATCATGAGCAGCGCACAAGAGTCTCGACACATCTCAATGGAGTCTGAAGTTAGTCTGATTACTCTACACTCTAAGAAGCATTTATTCTACATTGTAAATTAGATTGAACTGTGTGCATCAATACATTTCATTAAAAGCTGAAAATGAACATCTCGTCTAATATTGGATGAATATTTGACGTAAGGCTCTGATCTGGTCAAGCCCTGATGTCATAACTCACTAAACACGATTCTCTAGAACAGACCACAGAAATCTGGCTGTACTGAAAGATTGGTTGAATTACTCTAGTGGGATGTTCTGGCTTCACTTTTCTATAGTGGAAGGAAGTGTCCATCTTTTTTACAGTCATGGTTCAGCATCACATCAAGTCACATGAAGCAGGACAACATGAGGATCTTCTCACGCTTCAGCTGTGATTCACACACATTCTGAGCACATCAGGCTAGACAAACCTAGGTCTTGAGTTCTGCTCTGTGACACAGCAGATCTGAGCTTGGCCCAGTGCATTCTGGGATCACATTCAATGCGAAGGATTCATGTTTAATGTAGGCAGCGCACTAGGATTTGACCAGCACTCTAGCCATAATAACGCTTCCTCCAGTGAAAAAGTGTTCTGGTCTGAATCAGGAGAGAAATCTGCACAGATCAAGCACCATTTACAAGCCAAAACAGCTCTGAACAAATATGTGGCTGGATTTTAATCTGAGAGACAACAGGAGATGCACTTTTTCACTGGAGGAAGCGTTATTATGGATTATGGATTTGTATTTTAGTTAAAAACGTGTTAATGCTGGATTTGTTTCAGCTTTTGTCTTCTCCAGATGTTAACTGATGGACTGGAGTGCTGTGCATTACTTGTGGATTATTGTGATGTTTTTATCAGCTGTTTGGACTCTCATTCTGACGGCACCCATTCACTGCAGAGCATCCATTGCTGAGACACTGATGCAATGCTGCATTTCTACAAACCTGATGAAGAAACAAACTCATTCTAATCCTAATTTGTCATCAAAATGTTCATTTTTGGGTGGACTATTCCTTTAAGTGTGTGAAACACAGTGAACATTGACGAGCTTCCCTTCACAGCTGATTTGAGCGCTGCAGGTACTGATGTGGATCTGCTCCTCCTGTACATCATGCTGCTGTATTTCTCTGTCGCTGTGTGGGGCGAGATGCTTCTTCCTCTTTCATGCGGCTGTAGTTTGATCAAGTGGACAGACAGAGGCAGCGGTCAGCCTCCGGTCTCCTCCTGACGCTCACAGCGGGAGAACTTCACCTCCACACCTCTGATCAGATGAACAGAGAGCCAGAGAAACAGGCAACTCCACACTCCTGCTAACAAGGCTATTTAAAAGTCTGTTGTTTTACCTTCAGTGTTGAACAGCGGTCTGCTGCAGCTGTTCAAAGAAACAAAGAGCTGTGTGTGTGTGTGTGTGAGTGTGAGTCTGACCTTTGATAGCCTCGTCCACAACCTCCACCACTCGATCGATCTGCTGGACCTACAGAGACACAGAGAGACACAATGAGAACATCAGCTGAGGATCTTCATGTGAATCCAGCTGTTCCTCACACACTCTGCAGGAGAACGGATGTGGTGTCATGATGGTGTGTGTAGACACTCATAAACAGCCCCGATATCTTCACACAGCGGTTAGTTCTGCTCAGACTCGAGTCGTGGTGTGAGTGCTGGACCTGAGCTTTCAGTAACTTACAGAGACACAGATACGAGCTGTGTGTCATCTGAAGCTCTCAGATCCAGTCCAAACCATCAGTGACTCTAACAGTGATGTTATATCAGCTGGAACGCTGCTCGACCGGGACCAGAACTACCTGCTGGACAGCATATGAACTGATGTGTACAGGAGGAGAAAAACACGCCACAACTCATTAGGAAATACAGCTTCATCTCTTACATTAACTGAATGTGATTTGAGCTTTTAATAGCAATATTGTAAACGTGTGTTCTGACACACATCATGAACACGTGTATCAGAGCGTCTATCACTCACTCAGTGTTCAATCCTCACAGCAACTCAGACTGACAGATGATTCAGATCAAGCTCCTCTCATCTCTCATCTCTGAACAGCAGCAGATCAGTCACTGCTTTTGACCATATTCATTATGAGGTCATTAAGAAGCTGCCTGATGAAGGGAGAACCAATAGACGTGCAATTGCTTCTTTGGCAAATTAAACAGGAAAATGTGACAGATGTCTGACGGTTCCACTGACGAGTCTGTCATGAGGATGAAGGACAGTGATGCTCTCAGCAGACTATAAACACAGCACTGCATGGACATGGTTTGAGCTGAAATACTTTAGTGCTAAAATAGCATTACAATACTACAAAATATCAAAGTCTCATTTATTTGTACAAAAAGAAGCACTTTTACCAGACGCAGTGCTGAAGCTGAAGACAGTGGATGATGCTGATGGTTGGTGTGATTCTCTACACCTGAGCGGAGACACCTGTGAACTTGAGCTAAATGACTTCATTCATCCACTGAGATCACGAAAACACCAGCTGAGACTTCAGACATTTTCTAGTGAAATAAAATGTATACAATATAGTCACTTCACATATGAAATCAGTTGACGGAGTCAGTTATAGTTTTGTGTCACTATACAATATTTCACTGACCAATCAGAACCCAGTATTCCAGACAGACAGGACGAGACGAGCGATGTGCTCCAGAGTCGGCTGATTCTTCAGAAACTCGTTTTTGCACATTTCCACATTTTAACACCCATCAACACTGCACCGTTTCGTTGTTTGTCACTCCAGTCTAAACTATCGCAGAGAGAAAATGGAGGCACTCAAGAAAAAGAAAGACAGAATGGCAAATGGAGTGAGAATAAAGAGGCCTGTAATGGTGAGAGTCGGCTGGAGGCGCAGATCTTTCCTCCGCTGAGCTCATTTCTGCATGGAGGCGGTGAGATTGCAGGAGCAGATCTACAGTATTAAAGGGAATTCGTGTCCATTGTGTGGCGCACCCTGTGGTTAAATGGCCGACCCGAGGCCGCTGGGGCCATTAATTCAGCTGTACTGTGGGCCGAGAGACGGAGCGCAGACCCAGGTTGCAGTTACATGAGTGAAAAACACTGGAACAGAAATCAATTCTGCTCTAATGGGAGCTCAATCTCAGGCCACTCTGGCAGCGGCTGCTGGGAGAACACACTTCAGGTCCGAGCGCAGCGGGACCGGCTCTCAATGCAGCTCTCCAGAAGTGCGTCAAAGAGCCAGAAGAAAGGTAATTTTATAGAGCGGACTCTTTCATGTGCTGGCAGAGATGTTCGGGAGTCTGTTTAGCATTACCGGTTTGTTCCTCCCTCGACTGCAGCCTCACGCTTTTAATCCAGCCCTGGACCGAAGAACTTAAAAATCAGATGTCTGACTCCCCACAGCTATTGTTTTAAACAAACTACTTGAAAGCAACGAGGGACGATGTGTAAGTCTGTTGTCTAGACAAAACAAAGATGTGCTGAGGCAACTTCATCAAACAGTTCGAGACTTCCAGACAAATCTGGGCTGCGCTTCGATCCGCTCACGCACAGAGCAACTGTGTTTGCAGTCGTGGTCCTGCTGCACTGTAAGGTTAAAGACGGCCTTTTCATAGCTCATCTGTAATATCCAGAGCCCCGGACAAAAGCAGAGCAGGTCCGTGTGTCTTCATCTGTGATGGAGAAACGTTACCGGTGCGGTTCTCCTGATCAGTACAGCCTCTGTCTGGATCTGCTTCATCTGCAGTGGTGAACACAGCACTGGGAAGATATTTAGGGGTTCAGGGGCTGACAGTCTCACATGCTCTGACTCACCTTAGGAAAAAAACACTACTTTGTAAATGTAAAGTATAAAACAAAACTGAGTGCAAGAGTGTCTTCACATATTCTATATGTTTTAACCTGTTATCATCATTGAATCAGTGGGGATGAGAATAGTTTGACATTTCAAAATTCGATTTGATTCTTGGGGTCAGATCTGTCATATTCACACCGGTACAGTATCCTCATTCAGACCGGTCCTGGTTTCACTGGTATTAGCTGTGGTTGAACGTTAGGTGGTTCTGTGTGTTAATATATTCACCGCACAGCTGTCTACAGGCATGTACTGGCCGCCGGAGCGAGCGAGACCTCCCCCATATTAGACGCTGTTTTTAAACTACAGCGCATGTGAAACTGCAAAAAGCAAATACTCTGAAAGTGTGAAGCGGCGCGACCCGATCGTCCAGCAGCCGTGCGAAACAGAAGCAGAGCGCATCAGACACACACACAGCGCTGATGAAGGTGTGCTGCCATAAAGTGATAAGCAGCGCAAGTCACTTGATCCGTTCAGATGTGACACAGAGTTGTGTTATACAGTCGTGTGATATGAGAACATTAAAGGTTCTGAAGTGATGCTGCTGAAAACAGCCACAACAATGATAAAACTGCATGAGGTAAACTGGAGAACACCAATACATAAGTACAAGCTTATCAATTCAGCACCACAGTGATTTAACTTGCAGTTATTAACACTGTACAAATCGCTTATGGAACCGTCATTACTTATATTAAATATCGGGGAATATAAGTTGTTTTTGTAGTTTCTACATGTTTAGTTTAGTTTTTTTACAAATTGCATAGTTGTTGTTTTTTTTTTATTACTTATTATTCATTTTAAAAACCATGATGTCTACCATATAACGAGGACCGTGGTTTTACTTGTTGTGACCACCTCTTACTAATACTAGTCAGTTAAACTCTGTATTCTGCAAGAACTATAGTAAATTTCATTAGAGCAAAGGATAATTTAACAGAATAGCTCCACAGAAGTCAGTCATACAGGTTTGGAATGACATGACATGAGGAAATGATGACAGAATTTAATAGCAGCACATTTACTGCATTCTAGCTCAAAATCAACGCTTTACTGTCAACTGCATTTCTATGAGACAACAATGCATTATTACGTTTGTTGCATTTGCCGTGAATTCAGTAATATCTATTATTATTTGTTTCTGTCTTGTTTTATTTATTCATTTATTAGCTCCATTTAAAGCCCTATAACCCAGCAAACCCTTCCCGGGGAACTCGTGGGCCGGATGGGATTTGTCCAGAGACTAATTTTAACCCCAGTCCAGCCCTGGCTGCCTACACAATAACACGAGGCAGGCTGATCTATTTATTTTTTTATTTTTTTTTATTGTTAAATAAAGGAAACTAAATTATTAATGCACACAAAGGATTTGTTGGATTGGTTCAACCAAAAATGAAGGACATGTGCAGTGAGACATCAGAAAGATGGAGAACGACGCATGCAGAAAACTATAATACACGCTGTTGCTGATTTGCTTCATTTTATTATACATTATTTAGCCTCGGGTTCAGGATATTGTCACACACTATCATAAGCAGGAATCACAGCTATCATCACTCATAACAGTACGAATATAAGCATCTATTGGTATAATAGGTATAACTGTAAACTGTGGCAAGCCTAGCTCACAACAATTTTTTATTGTTTTTATTAATGTTAATTTATGCAAATTACATGTATATGTAGAAATTCACATTAGCATAGATTAATAAATGCTGTAGAAGTATGTTAACAAACAGAACTCCTGGTTGTTTTGTCATCTTCTCTGTTTTTCCCTGTGTTAAGTTTGACTGAAGTCCCGGAGCCGATCAACATATTCTAGAGATAGAAACAGATCTGGTGAAGTATCCTGCGGACCGATGGCGTTTAGAGCGTATCTCTGAGGGACAGCGATCTGAGCTCATCACCGCTAAACACAGCACCCCTCTCAGCCTAACACAAGCATTACTGAGAGCTGATGAACGCTCAGAGCCCTAACTCAACAGTGCATCTCTCCTCAGGACCAAACACATCTCTCCAGACACACAAACAGCTGAGATGCAGCTGACACGGTTCTCGTCTCGGCCTTTAAACCATAAATAATCAAGGTTTGTTTATTTGTGTATCCATGATTTTTTAAAAGCAGCACTTATTAAAACATGACCGGTTAGGCTCAGTCTATTCATTATTGAACCATCTCCTTCATAAACATGAATGTGCTGGTAATCCCACACGCTATGTCAAACAGCACACCATAAATAATGTAATTAAATGTAATAAACAGGCCTGTTCCTGTCAGCCTGCAGCTGCTCCAGAGCTCTTTCTCTAGAACACATGATGCTCTGATTAGTTCTCCACACATTCATCCTTTCAGACTCAACGGCAAAGGCTCGATATGCAAAACGCCTGCCCATTTGCATAAGGTGATTTTTCCAAAGGTAAGACCAAACAATCATCGGCCACACGTGTGACTCTGACTCGTCTCCTGATTCCAGCTGTAACTCGCTCAAATACAGGCTGAAAACAACACCGCTGCACCTCATTCACTCCAACACACAGAACAGATGGACAGTGAGGAGCGATCATCAGCTCGATGAAGAGTGTGTCAGTGTTTGAATGCATCAGTGTCTGTGAGCGTTTACCCCGATGATGCTCAGGTCTTTCAGGTATTCTGTCCTGGGCTGGGCCTGCGGCACACATCCCGCCACAACCACCTTCTTATTCTGCTCCTGCGCTTTCCTGAAACACACACACAGTCAGCATCACTCTGGCATATTAGTGTGTCACGCTACCAACACATGTAAATAGCTTCTTTTCTTTTTTTTTTATAAAAATATTAAATAAATGAAATTACTTAATTATTAATGCTATTAATAGTTTGTAAATAATGCATTTAAACATTACCATAAAGGCTTCAAATATTGTTCAGTTATGCAAACTGCATCAGAAAGATCAAATAAAAAGTTATTAATAAAATGAAAAACAGAATAGCATTACAGTAATGCACAGATCTATTCTGACACATCAGATTTCTGGATCAACCCGGTGCTTTCGACAACACTGGTGACTATAATGACAGATCAACGATCAGCCGGGTCAATCAGTCATCTGATATATCAATGATCTGTTAATTAATGCCATTGGCTGTCCATTAGCGTTAGTTCAGACATGTTCATATTCCTGAGTGAAATGTCTGAAAGTAATATCTCTCCAATCCAATCTTTTCTCTTCATTAACATCACTTATCTTCGGGTGTTTTGATTATTTATTTCTTTGGTCTTATGAAGTCAGTTCTCCTCAATCAAGCAGCAGTTCTGATGGTCTTTTCCTCTGATCTACTGGAGTCAACATGAACTACAGATGCAGAAATGGGTTCATACAGCTCAAAAACACCAGAAATAAACCCAAACGCATCCTGATCTGAGCACACAGCACACGAGTGAAGCTTCTGATGTCAGTGAGCAGCAGAGACTCATGGGAAGTGACAGTGAGACGGGAAGCTCAGCTGGAGATCTCTTCAACACTCTGAACATAGACAAACTAACTCTTCAGACTA